GCTACTAAGGACATGGTGATGTCTTCATCGTCGTCATCATCGATGTTGTTGCCTTCCAGTGCTACTGTGAAGTACGAGGTGCCATGCATTTCAACTTCAATGACGTCATCGTCGTCGTCGTCATCAATGATGTTTTCAGATTTTAAGCCTCAGAGAGCGGTGGCCAGTGTGGCTCCGACATTTCAAGATGGAGTTTCAACAGCTGGTCAACATTATCAGTCATCGTTCCAACCACCATCAACGTCATTATCATCATCATCACAACTCATCTCCTCCTCATCCTCCTCATCATCATCTCTGTCATCATCATCATTCACTCAGATGTCATCCTCACAGTCCAGTTCACCTTCTGTCTCATCATCATCATCAGCACTCACCAATCATTACAAATCACCATTCACATCTCAATCTCATCACGTGATGAACATGCAGGGCAGACCCCCACCACCACCACAATCATCGACATCATCGTCGTCGTCATCATCTTCATCACCATCAAACTCAACACCCATGTTGCAACAACCTTCTTATTCTTCATTGGCCTACCCAGTACCTTACTCATTTTCCATGCCACCACCATCATCATCATCATCGTTCATCTCGTCGTCATCAACCAACAACATGCCTGAAGATATGAGCATAAAGAGTTGCAAAGAAACAACAACCAACAACAACAGCAGTTACAACAACAATTACAACACTTCAAGCCACAATAACAACAATTATTCAGACAATAGGAATGCTAGTAACAACAGCAACAACAACATGTTCACCCATTCAAAACAACAACAAAAACATTCGCAACAACAACCTCATCAACATCAACAGCCGCAACAACAAGAGCCAATATGTCACAACATATCAGATGATGATGACGACGAGAACGATGATGGCGGTGCTGATGTTGATTGCAATGTTGCAAGAAGTCCAAGTCCTCCTGCCGTACCTGCCAGTGAACAAGTCTACTCTTCAGCCAACTCCATGTACGTTCCTTGCAAAAACTCTTCACTCTTTTCTCTCTCTCTCTCTCTTATCTCTCTCTCTTTCTCTCTCACTCTCTTTCTCTCTCTATTTTCTTTCTCTTTACATGTTTTCACAATTTAAACTTACTGCTAAAGTTTGTTTCTCTAAACATATCATGTGAGCATCTCTTGAACATTCCATCCAATTAGAAGAGAACACAAAGAAACAACATTTCATGCACTGCAGATTCATAAGGAGGTGGAACAGAGGAGGTAACATGTGCTCGAGGTCTGATCTGGAGTTTCTGCCCCAGAAGAATTCCAAGTGGATGATGAAGAAGGAGGAGAGATTGCTCAACAAATCCTCGTCGTCGTCGTCGTCATCTTCGTCGTCCGGCCATCATCACCATGGTCATCAGTCGCATCACAAGTCGTCGTCATCTAGTCACCATCATCAGTCTAGTGCTAAGGAGGGCAGGAGGAATGAAGGAAGGAAGGATGATGATAAGGTTCCTTTATTGGTTCCTTCAACAATACAACAACAACAACAGCACACGTTTAGACGACATTTTCCCCGAGATCGGGGGTTCCTTCAACAATAACCAATCGAATATATAGATTGAATTTTGATTATTAATTTGAATATTTTTCCATTTGCAGACGAAATCACCGATGCAAAACAACAACAACAGCAGATCATCAGACGCCCAGATAACGAGTTCCTACGCTGGCTCCTCCCACCATCTTCCTCCGTTTGCAGGATCCTCTTCTGACAGGATGTCCCAGAGATCCGGAACAGGAGCAAATGCTGCAGCCTCTGGAATGTTCCATGACCCCACCCCAGCTCTCAGTCAACTTTCTGCTTATGCCAGACCACATATTGGTTGGTTGGTTCGCTCGTCATTGTCGTTCGTTCTTATTATGTCTTGCAATTGTTCGTTGAGTGATTGATTGATTGTTATGCAAATTAACGAACCGCAGGGAACCAGCGCCTGATGAACTATCCACCATCCCATTCCATCCAGGATTACTTCAGACTGCCTGGAATCTTCCCACCTGGTTCCAGAGAAGTGTTAGCACTTACTTCAATTTGTTGCCGAATGTTTATTTGTGTATATTTCAATGTGGAAGTTGTTTTTTTACCATTGTATATCATTGAACATGATTGTTACATTGAACAACGTCGTTGCATTGATTGTCACTGAAGAATGGAACTGGACATGGACAAACATGCGTGGGAACGAGATGTCAGGGAACGAGAGTTGCGAGAGATGGAGTTCATGGAGAAATTGAAACAGGAGCTCGAGCTCAAATCAGCTGCTGCAGCCGGTTCGTTTGTTGTTTTAAACGTCTTGCTGTCACATTTTGAAGAAAACGTTTTCATGGAACTAACCGACCAATCACAGCAGGGTTTGATAGGTTGCCCCACCTACCTGGCGCCTCATTGGATCCGATATGGATCGACATGCAGAGACGTTTGATGGCCAGTCAACTTCCTCTTCCATCCGGAGCTCCTCCCCCTTCCCATCTTTCAGGAATGTTTCCTCCCCCAGGAATTTTGTCAGCTGATCTCATGCAGCGGGAGAGATTGGAGCGTCAGTCACTCTTGATTGATTTAATTTCTCTTCCTCCGTTCACTTGTTTCTTTGATGTACAATTCATTGTTGAACGCAGACCGTTTTGACGTTGGAGTGAAAGTTATTTGTTATCCTTCCTTAGAAATATTTGTTATCCATGATGTTTCTTACCCCCTCCCCCCTCCAGAAATAGCCCGGTCGAGTCAGGAGCAGATGGCCAGGGAGGGTGCATTGCTGCAGTTGTACCAACGTTATGCACACGACCCCAACATGTTGCAGAGGCAGGTCAGTGCTTACATGGCCAGCAAAGCTCAGGAGAGCGTTCATCTCGTCTACCATTTCGCCAGTTAGTAGTTGTAATCATTATGCAAGCACAATTGTGCACATGTTTGTGTTTGTTCGCGCCCACGAACTCAAATGCAAAATATAAATTTCCATAGAAGCAGATCCACTGGCTTCAGCAGTGAGCCAATCGTCATCGTCCTCAAGCAATCTCCCATCAAGTCATCTTCCTCCTCCTCCTCCGCTCCCATCTGCTCTCCATAACCTCCCTCCCAACCACCCCTTGTATGCCTTCGCCAGAGATCCGGAACGAATGTACATGGAGTTGCTGTCCAGGCCTCCCTACAATGCCGATCCTCTGCTCGCCCAACAAGTCATGAGCAATGTTAGTATTCTTTCTTGTATTTATGTTTATCTCTCAGTGCTGGCGTATGTCTGCTTGTGTGTGTTATGCATCGTTGTCTGAATGTGTTTTGCTGGCCGTGCAACAACATGAAACAGTGCAACAAATTTGTAATGAACAATTGAATGGATTGATCGCAGCTGACGGCCCAGGCAGCAGCGGCTGCACAGCAGGAAGCCCTGCAGAGACATCTCGCCATGGAGAGGGACTTTCCAGGCAACCCTATGATGCACTGAGTCTCAAACATGTCCTCATCTCATTTAACCAACGTGTCAATACTGATATGTCATGCCATGTCATCTTCGTCGTTGTTATGTTGTCAAATGTCGTTGTGCAATTAAAGTTTACTCTCGAGAAGAATCTGTAAAATGTTTAAATAGTCGATATTCAATTGTTGTAAATTATTAATTATTGATTTAATGGCAAGACATTTTGCCCTGGTTTAATTTATTTTATAATAAAATTTGTGTTCAATTAAGAAGAAGTATCGAACAGTAAATAAGTATAATTTTATGTTGAACTTTTGTCGACGCTTAGGTTTTTCTTTCTTTTTTTCTTTGTATATTTCTGACCCGTTTCATCACTTTTCCAAAATTTTTTGTCACCTACCATCATGTCACAAACAATGTTTACCAACATCCATTAATTTTTCGAAAATTTTGAATTTATAAATTTTTATTAAAATGAAAATGTCTTGTGTTGATGATTGATTCAACTAGTAAGCAACAACGACGTTGTTGTTAGATTGTCGTTCTAAATGATTTTAGATTTCACGTTTGCGTTAATTAAGGGGTGCTACAATTAAACTTTGAAACAATAAAGTTTTACCGTAGCTAGTTAGTTATGAGCTTACTGGATCTCCCAATATACGTGTAACGTTATTATCACACACTTTAACACACACATATGCATATACATAGACATATTTAATGAGCATACATCGATAGTCACACTGACTGCTCAGGTGAAAGCTGTGCTTCTGTGTTGCGTAGGCTGTGGGGTTTTTTTCTTGCAGGAAGTATACATACATGCACGCGTTATTTTATTTCACGTTGTGGTCGGTTAGAATGAAGAAGCAGCTTTCCATGGTACTGGATAGAAACAGAGACAGTCTCGTGAGGCAGCTGGATGTCGAACATGGTCTATTGAACAGATTACTTAGTAGAGGGGTTATCACGGACGATCACCTATACGATATACGGGTAAGATTTCGTTATTGTTATTACTCTGCACGCAAACGTGCATCTTAAAAAATTTCGGTAAATTTTTGCTTTAATTTGTGTGGATAGCTATTCAACTTAAGTTAATCTGAAATTATTTCTGTTTAGGCAGCTGAGACGGGCAGGAAAAAAGTGGAAAGATTATTGGATATATTGAAAATGCTTGATGATCTAAATTATGAGGTCTTCAGATATCTGGTTGCAGAGACACAAACACAACTGGCAGCTGAATACCTACCTCCTGAAACCAGTCTGCAATAGTACATGCACTGTATTGTAAATTAATCATTTTAAAAATCTAAGCTAACAATATTCATCTGAACCAATATATTGTTATTTGCAACTTACTATTGTATCTTTTACCTTTGACATTTTTTTTGCAGTTCTTCCATTCAGCTAAAAGGCAGTTTTAATTTTGTATATTTGTTATTTTCAGATTGTGATTTTACTCCAACATTTTTCATTTTTTCACTCAACATTTATATTTTTGACTAGATATATTTTTAATTTTTATAAAACACGTTTTGACTTCAAATGGAATGGCAGCAGGAACAAATTAATTAAGAAAATTTAAATTTAAATAGCAAATATCCATGCAGTAACTTATGTTCTTTTCATGTAGGTTATAAACATTGTTGCAGTTAACGTCTGGGCTAACGTGAAACTTTCTGAATAAAAATTGCTCCTCAATATCAAGCAAAATTTCAGCATATTCATTTTTTAACGAATGCATGGAACTTGGAAAATATGCCTTAAATGAATGAAATATTTCATCGAAAATGCTTCAACAAGACATTAACGACAAAAGGAAAAAATTTATAATGATAATTAAAAATAAAACTGACTGTGAGACAAAATTGTTTGATGAAAGAAAATGAGAAATCCTCTGACATAACTTTCATGACCTTCCATTCATCTCCTATGAGATCAAACTTTACAGCATCGATCACCTTCTGTTTGCAAAAACATTTTTTTTAACAAAAATCGCGTCATTTAGTTTTAATTTTGTTATAACTTCATCAGACCCCACTATGTCCTATAGATACTTTGAATTTGTTAAAAGATTTCAGTGCGGAATTCACATCAGAGTTGATAGCAAGGTTCATGTTGTGGCAACTAACTTTTGAATGATTGAACTTGTGTGATCTGTAGAGAAAACAAAAATATACGTTTTAAAATATTTGAAAATATATCAGTTTTTTATATTGCCATTACAATATTAATTGAAAATTACCAAAATGTTCAAATACATCGCAGTATTCAGTATTACAAAAAGAAAACTTCAAAATTACTGACTCACAAAAAGGATTGATGCTTTCTACCTTGCACTTTAATAAATCTGAGATCTCGTTTTCAAAAAAAAAATCGTCTACATTTCTGAAGGATTATGAAAATTTAAAAAATTCCAAGTTTTATATTTTAAATTGTAAGAATAAACCTAGCAGAATAAATTTTGCAGCCATATTCAAAATGATATGGCATTGAAAGACATAATTTCCATTTACTTTCATTGTAAGCAAAAGTAATTTTCTTCAGACACTCAACTTGAATTTCATCTGGAACACTTTGAAATTAAATGTTTTATTTTTAATTTAAACAAATATGAAAATTGCAAGTTAAATTTTACAAAAAGCTTGTTTCATTGAAAGCTGGTCTTCCTGAAGACTCCTTTATAACTGGTTGGATATCATCCTTTAGCATTAGAAGAACGTCTAACAAATTTTTCGCAAATTTTCAGAGTTAAAAATTGAAACACGAATACAACAAAATGTTTTTTCAAAATTCGTTAATTCATTTTTAACAAGAATGAAAAGGTCACTCAGGTAAACGCTACGTTGAACATGAAATATGTAGAACATTTTCATACTAGGATATTTCTGTCTAGCGTTGTCAGCGTCAAAATGCTGAAAGATTTTCGAAAACTGATTTTGAAATCTGTTGAATTTCAGTTTATTTAAATCTATGTAACCTCAGCAAAAATTGTAAATCAATACTTCTTAGGATCCAGATATTTGTTAGCATTTACTAAATTTTCACCTTCTAACATTTCAATATCATAATCAACCTATCCAAAATAGGTGCAAATCAGAAACATTAAATAATTTAAACTAAATTTGAATGAACTAATTTAAGATGGACACCTGACGTATCTTGAGGACAACAATCACTTCAAATAAACTGCCTAGGGCAAATAACAAAAGTACTTTTCTAAATCTTCCCGTTGACATTCTTAAGCGACTCAAAAATGTTCATGGAACTTTGGAAAAGAACTAATCAGTGTATGTTAGAGTATAATGATTATAGACTAGTATACAATGTTCTATAGTTAGTGTTTAGTTCTATTCTATTCAAAAATATAATGTTTTTTAGTAAAAATAAACTAAGTAACCAATACGCCATGTGAAAATATAGTAGAACAAATTCAAATCCAACAGCGTTTGTTGTATTTTATAAAAATATAACTTGGAAGTGAAATATATTAAAAGTTTTAACAAAAATTTTACTTAATTTGATTTAATTCTGGCGCCACGTGGTTGCTAAGCAATCATAACAGCAAAAACGTTGAGTGAAATAATCTTTGGAAGTGTTTTTCGATCAATTATATACAACTTTATATTGTATAATAAATTTGTTAAAAATTGTGAATGTCATGTCATATCGTTCATTATAACATTTTAAATTTCTTAAAAGTGATTATAAAAAAAAGTAAGCGAAGGATACTGATGTAAAATCGTAAAAGTACAGCAAAATTATGCTCCTCTGATCATGTATGTTCTGGATGGCTTACAATGCGGGGAATTCATCGATTGAAATTCGGTCCGCCAGTTTTTCAATTGGCCAGCAATTGCAAATACAGTCATAAAAATCGAAGGTTGATGTAGTATAACTCGTAACAGCAGTTCAATGAATGGTCATTTGAAAGCAATTTCCTCTGTCCATAATAATTTTCATGGTAATAAAATTTCCGAAAATGGCATTTTGATTCGAGGTCTGCCAGGATTGAATACATCTTAATAAATTCCTGTATTCTCTTTCCATCTGTTAGCAACCAATCTCCATCTTTTATGTCAATTGTATGAACCTTAACACGGTATATATAACGTATTAAAACCAGTTTGGCCGAGAATAATTTACAAAATTTGACTGAAAACTTACTTCAAAGAGCAACTGTTTAACATTCAGTAAGCTGCCATCATTAATCATCATTCTTAGGCTATCCCATTCATCATATTCAATGTCAATTTTGAGGACATCTATAACATTCTGTAATTAATTTCAACAATAACAAAATAATAATAAAGAAATGATAATTTTTATCCAAAAATAAAACATTAAAATATATGTAAAGTAAAATTTACATTAGGTATTTGAAGAATTTCAATGATACTTCTGAAAGATTTAACAATCCATCTATCTCTGGTGACAGAATTTAATGGCCCAAGCCCAATCTGGTAGAAATAAACATTGTCAGACCTAACGTGGTCTTCAGAGGACATGCTGTAGTCATATTTATAAATTAATTTATATAAATTTATAATCAATTATTATTTCAATTAACTTTGAATAATTTTAAAAGTGAATTTTGTTGTAAATACCTTGGATCAAAGGAAAAGACAGAGCAATTATTTGATATGCCAATGTCATCATCAAAACTGAAGTCAAAATTTATTCTGAAATTGAGAAGTTTTAAATAGGGTTTAGAAACAATTAGAAAAATAATGAAACCATTATTTTAAAAATTTTTTCCAAAAATTAAAAAAAAAAATAAAAAAATAATTATATACCCAAATGAAAAAACACTGCAGCCCTCTTGAAGATTGTAGGGCTGAGAGGTGCAGACTTCCCAACCACCATCGTCTATATTTCCATACCTGGTCATGTTGAGACATAGAACATGGATACTGGTGATCATTCTGTTATGAAAAACAATCAAGAAGATTATTTAGATTTTCAAAAAGATTTAAAAAATTTGCAGAAACGACTTTTCATAAACCATTTCCAGAGTATCTAATGATGCCTCAGTGATGCCTTTTACATTAAATTCATCTAGAATTAGTTTAGGTCCCTTGTATGAGTCTAGGAAGATTATGCCTTTAGATGAATGAAAATAACAATAACTACTGTTTAGGAACTTTAATAACCAAAGATTACTGAAAAATTTCAAGTAGGACTTGAAAAAAATTGAATAAGAATTAAATTAAATAAAGTTTAAATTAAAAATCAAACCAGGATATCTTGAATAAACTTCTTTTCCATTTAAACCCATCCACAGTTTAGAATCCATCAAAAATGCCTTTCCAAGTTTCAAATCATTTTGCAAAGATTCATGCAGAACTTTAATCTTCTCATAAGAAAGTTTTGTGATTCGTTTCCATTGCAAAAGAAAATCTTTATAACTAAGTTTAAAATTAAAATAATAATATTGTTAACCATAAATTACTTTTTGCCAATGTTGTAAAAGGATATAAGGCATGGGAAAGAAGAAGATATTAAATGTATGTATTTAATATATATATATATTTATATATATATAAGATGAAATATCAGCCAATTATATCAGACTAAATTAACAAAAGTGTTTAAAAACCTCTGAGGTTTTACATCTGCAGTATCATTTAAATTTGATAGTAGGCTCTGAAAATGGTTTGTTTTCTTTACTGGTTTATATTATTTATATTAATTGATTAAAAATAAATAGCAAAATGATAAAATGGGAACAAGAAATAAAAAATTAATAGATTTAATAATTTTTAATAAGAAAAAAAAGAAATATGATAATATTGACAGCAATAAAATAATAAAGAATAAATAAAAATAAATAAAAAACACTCACGAGTTGAATAAAATGCGCAAATAAGAACAAAACTAAATGAGTTTCAAACAAAAAAGTCAATTTCATAACTAAATTATTTAATTAAATTTTTCATTAAAACGAAATTAAATAATAATAAAATTAAAAGAAGAATGAAGAATAAGACACGTTTCTGGGAAAGTTATAACTAAAAGGTAATCCAGGTGCTAAAAAATTATGGATCACCAATATCAATTAATAATTTTTTGAAAAGTCACTTTTTATGCAAAAAGTGTCAAAATGAGATCGAAAAAGTGCTTCGCCTTGTTTGTTTCGAGTTTAATAAAAAGAATTAACAGTGCATTTGAGTTTAAAACTTTTTAAATGAAATATATTGAGTCAGAATATATTAATTTATAACACTTTTTCTCAAATAGATGCTTTGAAAATCAATGAACATGTATGTAATGCGCACCAAGGAAAAACATCTGATCTATAAGAAAGTGAGATAGATCTGACGCTTAGAGAGTTCTATGTATGTTTGTTTGTTTGTATGTATATATGTGTATGTCTATATTTTATACGTTTGTATTCATGAATGTTTGTATATAAGATGTCGTGTGCATCTTAGTGTATAAAGGAAACTGTTCTTTCTCAAAACATTGCACAACTGTTCAAAACTTTCGCGACTTTGAAGTTATTTTTTTACCAATATCGAACATTTCATTAATATTTTCACATATTTTCACATATTTTCACACATATTTTGATCTCATCTTTTTGTTCCTAAGGTTTTATATAAGAAGGAAAGTTGTTGATTTTGATAAGTTGGATAACGAGAAAATACATCGCATGTTCATGTTCATCCTATCTCTTGTTCATTGTTTGAAATGTTCTTAGAAAATTTTTGATCCACTTATCTGAAAACTGAATTCACAGAAATGCGAAGAGTGAGTTTTGTACATTTAAAAAAATATATATTAAACGTTACCTATATTTTTTACCCCATTAAATAAAGATGGTTTTAATTTTTGTGTTAATATTTTTTAAATAACGTGTAAACAGACACTATTGGCCATTTTTTCACTAGTTAATTTTCATGTAACTTTTATCATTACCAACGAAATACTACTTGATCGTTTTATTAAATCAGTAAACTACAAATCAACAAAAATCCCCAACAACAAAAAAGAAAAACAATAAGAAAATTTAAAAAGATAATTTTTTAAGCTTTTAGTAGAAGGAAGAAACAACGGCAAAAAACAACTCCTGCTACATAAGAGCCAGCCGCCTGTTGCCTCTTCACTCATACACTCTCCTATGCCATATATCAACTCTTTAGATTTTTCTAACAAACAAGCTGATGATAATACGAACGCATTTAGAGCTTTTTTTCCAAAGTTTTATAACTATTTATACATTTTAAAACTGTTAAGACGATAACGAAAATTAAAAATGAATCAAGTTTGTGGTTTGCATTGAGTGGAATAATTCAAGAAACCATTTTATTTGGCTTTTTATTATTGCACATAGTGAGATATGCAATGCTTCATAAACATGGAAGTCAGAGTGGCTCACATCGTAGCAGTGCAGCGTTTTACGCTAGAAGGTAGAACACATGAAAACCAGGTTCGAACGCAAAAATAATTTCAACTATCATATGCCAAAGTGAATTGTGCGTTTTAATGTGATTATAAATGTTATTTAATGTAACCATAACCATAAACCACAGAAATTGAGCATCAATTTATGGCATTAATTTAAAAACTAAGTCTAAAAGCTACTACAAAAAATTATTCTTGTTTCTTTATCGTTTTAGCAAATTAGCATCGTTCTTTATGTTCAACCAAATGGAAAACCATCCGGCAATGAAGGCATAAACACTGAACATGTTTGTCTGTAAACTTTTTTATGGAAGAAGATATCGTTAAGTTAAGCATATGTGGAATGCAAACAAAACACTCGTTAAGCTTATGCAAGGCCGTAAATTAAAAAGAAAGCAACGCTTAACCAGGCTAGTCAGAAATTTAAAAAAAAACTTTAAAAATTCTTATAAATCATAATTTATCTGCATTCAATGTAAGTTTTATATATTGCTTTTGTTCCTTTCACATAATTTTGTATTTGGTTAAGTAAAATTGAGCTAAGATAATGTTGACAAATTGTTTGTCCAATAAACTTTAAAAATTGAGTTAAGTTCAATTACTTAACTTATTTCTCGTTGCTAACAGACTGATTCTAAATTTTTGAAAGAATAGATTAAGAACATTCTTAATGTACAATCATTGATCGGTTGTCAAAAAAGATATCTTCGATTACTACATTTTTACCACCAAGTAACTACCGGATTTGCGGTACTTAAATGCGTCTACCGTATCAGCGTATGTCAATGAAGAATCGATCTTTAAAAAGAATAACTCAATGTCGTTAGTTGCATATCTGTATCTACATAGATTGATCCTTGCAAAACAGATGACTTGCCGTCAATCTCGTCTCGTCGTAATACAAAAACGCATATGCGTGTTTACGTGCGTGTGTATATATATATATTTATGTGTGTTTGAAGATGTGTATATACAACATATACAATATATATGTGTGTATTATGCGTAAATTTTGCAGACATAGCAACAGATTAAGACTTTTTACTTGGTGGAAAGTCTCCTTTAAAGATAAGAGAACTTTGTTCCGTATCATTTCTTTTTTTTCCACTTGGGTTTATAGAAAAAAAATCAATTTTTTTATTCTCATAATTTATTTCTATTTGAAGTTATCGTAATCTTGCATGCTTACGTGTGCGTGGGTTGCTGCTCATGTGCCACAAGTTATAGAAATTTTCGAAGTTGATTGATTGAATTGTATGGTAGATCTTGTATTGCAATGACTTCTTCTCGTGCTAGGGGTGAAATTAGGTAAATCACATCATCGCAATTTCAGAATAATTGTCTTTTTGTCTTTCTCTCTCTCTCTCTCTCTCTCTCTCTCACACACACACACACACACATATACCATAAAAACACACACACATTGTTTATTAAATTCTTGAAAAAATTCTTTTGTTTAGCAAACTGGCACATAGGCGAACAAGGAATAAATAACGATTAAGATTTTAATCTGCAATCATTTTATTTGCGCAATTCCTCCTTATGTTTTTAAATATAATTTCTTATTCTCTCTTTATTTGCCCCTTCTCTCTTTCATTTCCAACTCTCTCTTTTCTCTCTCTCTCTCTCTCTCTCTCTCCCTCTCTCTCTCATCTTTATA